TATCTTCCCACTTTCTTCCCGCTTCAATAGCCCCAAATTCTAATCTATCACCTTTCAACCTAAAAATCCCATCCCCTTTCCTACCGATCTTTTTTCGATCCACATCACAACCTTTCTTGTCGATTGTTTTTTGATCCGCGTCACAACTTGTATCGTTCTTTCTGTCGCTAGATGCCAAGCTCATGCCTTCTCCACGTATCAAATTAATCCTTGAATTACGGAATGCAGGATCAATAATAGAACTCCATATGTTGTGTTGAAACCATCCTTCCAATTTTGATGAATCCAGAGTGAAATCGTCATCCTCCTCCCATAGTGTATGCATGGTGCGATACACAAGGTTCACATAATTTAAGTCAAGGTGTTCCCTGCTGAAGTATAAAGCATCGGCAGGTAAGAAAGACTCAAAAATGGCTTTTCGAAATGAAGGTAGATCAGTTACCGAATATTTTTTCAGAAGCTCAATAATTGATTTGTCGATTTTTGGCATTTTTTTACAGTTTGAGGAAAATATCTCTTCCCATTCGTCATTTTGAAACAATGACTTTGCTTTTTCGTCAATATCACTGATTATAAATGAGTGCATATAGGACTCATATCTCAAATTTCTTGCATATTCGTAAATTACTTTCTCAACAACACGTCCTGATTTAAGAGTCCACATATTTTCCGGGTCTAGGTCGTGGAAAATGTTATCGAAATGGGCCATTTGATCATCTGAAATCTTGTCATCGTCAATATCGGTGGATTTCCTTTTAGGCTGAATCAGAAAAGGTCAATTATTAAGTTTCAAAGCAACATAATTTGCGTAGTATTACTCACCCTTTTTGGCTTTTCTTGATATTCTGAACCAGAAGAATCCATTTCTGTCTGGTTTTCATAATAATTCACTGGTTTTCTTTCTCGAACTCTTTTAGTTGAAGATACTCCTTCCTAAAGAATAAAAAAACATTGTGTAAAAGCACACGCAGAATGTATGTTTTAAGTTGTACTTCTAGTGATCTCACCTTCTCCTCATTAAACCCTTGAGAGCGTAATTTCTGAATATTATGCTTCCCAGCATCATCTATCAGGTCAAGACTACCAGCGAGGTGTGTATGTTTTACCGACCGCTGTTTAGCATAATTATTGTAACGTTATTATAAAATAAATAAAGCAAAGAAAATCAGCTTAAACTAACCTCCTTTCGTTCAAGGATAATTTTTTCCCAATAGTACTTCATTTTTTCGGGCACCAGCTTTAAAATAATTGTATGGTTAACAAAAAAGCTTAGCAAATAACAAGAAGCAAAACATGGCGGGTCGCGAATGGTGGGAAGCAGGAAGAGTCCTGATGCTCCAAGTGCATGTAGAGACTTGCCAGGAGTTTCCCATCAATCACTTGGGACATGTAGAGACTTGACACAGTAATCTCCTAGATAGGAGAAGCACTGAGCCTCCAGGACATGTAGAGACTTGTCAGGAGACCCCTTCCGCCTATACCGGGAACAAAATTACTTCACCTTCACAGTATCTTCTGAAAGCTTCCTCACTTCCTGCAGAAATCGTCTCGTCCATGTGCTGTTGAGGGTGTTCCATTTATCCTTATATGGTGGTAAATCGATGAGAATAGCACGGTTTAGGATCAGAAAATCGGCATACGACCAACTTTTGGGGTTATGCTCTTTCAAATATGTTACTAGGACTATTGAAAGCAAATATGATTAGTACTTTAAAGTCAAAGGAACAATCAATGTGCTTACCTGTGCGACCGGGATACATTGTTGGAACTTCAGACATCTCGTATTCCTGTAACAGGTAAGGTAAAAAAAATAAAAAATAAAAAAATGGAAAGACGCGTCCATTTTGGCGCAGTGATATGTGGCGCAGTAGATGAATCTGTCTCACATGACTGGCCTATGCTACGATTGCGAGTTTATTGCTTGAAGTGTTACAGGTAAGACGATATTCTAACTTATCTCCCATACCATGAGCCTTGTAATCCATAATTCCCATGTTTTCCATCGCACAGCTGAGGCTTGAGGTTCTGCTGACATATTTATCACAGCTTTTTGTAAATGCCATGACTCATTTCCAGTTTCTTTCTTGTATGTTTTATATAATTTAGAGCGAATTTTATCTGTCAAAACGCTTTGTAACCCACTTAATTTGGCATGGACATGGTCATATTGTCTTTTTTAATATGATTGCGAATCAATTTAAATTGTAGTAAGTATAGTTGACGTAGATTAGCCCTGTAAAAATAGTTTCTCTTGAGAAACGCAAATATACAGTATTGTGAAATAACGATCCGGTTTTATATCTATCTTCTATGCTTTCCTCACCTAACTTGCATAATGGACATAATGTCTTATCAGTAATGCCATAATAATCGAAGTCTTCATTACTATATTCTCTATATAAGTTGGGATGTTGATCCAATGTCTTGTTACGAAAATAAGTGCGATCATAAGTTGTCTTAGATTGGGATGCAGATAATACATTTGCCGATGTACACTCCCCGGAAAAAAATCACCGGAATTTACTATTAATATTGCGACGATCATTTTTTTTACAGGTTTTTTATAA